TGGGGTGGGGTGGGGGGTGGGATCTAGGCGTAGACCGGAGAGCTTGGGTATGGAGGTCCACCATCGGCCGCCTTGGTTCTTCCATGGAGGAAGGGGTGGAAACCAACTGGAGGCTTTGGGGCTCTTCGTTGGATGATGGATTTGGGGGGTTCCTGATGATGGGGTCCACCAGTGGACACTTGGACTCCACCCTGAGCATGGATTTGGGGGTGCCTCATGATGGGATCCACCACCAGATGATTGGGTTCCTCCATGGATGATGGATTTGGGGGTCCCCAATGACCAGGTCCCCCCATGGACCATGGATCTGGGGGTTCCTCATGATGGGATCCACCACCAGATGCTTGGACCCCCCCATAGATGATGGATTTGGGGGTTCCTCATGATGGGGTCCACCAGTGGACACTTGGACTCCTCCCTGGTCCATGGATTTGGGGGTTCCTGATGATGGGATCCACCACCAGCCACTTGGAGCCCTCCATGGATGATGGATTTGGGGGTCCCTGATGACTAGGTGCCCCCATGGACCATGGACTCTCCTTACCCCCCAAAACCGAAGAGGAGGAGGAGGACGAGGAGGAAGAAGACGCCGCCCCCGACGACGTCTGCATCGTCAAGGTGGAGCCGGCGCCCTCCGCCCAAGAGAGGAGGAGGAGGAGGAGGAGGAGGATGATGATGGTGGCCCCGCCGCCTCCTCCTCCTCCTCACCCTCCTCCCTTCGGGGTGGTCAAGGCTTGTTACAGTTTGGCCGAAGACGCCGAAGGAGAAGGAGTCCTCATTTTCCCCGGCGGGGGGGTGGCGGAGGAGCTGGGGGGCTTCCACCCTCCTCCATCCTCATCCTCTTCTTCATCCTTGGCCCCTTTGACATCATCGGCGGGGCCGGCGTCTTCCTCAGCGGCGGCGGGGTCTTCCTCGTTGGCCCCGGGGTCTTCTTCGGCGGCGCCGGGGTCGTCCCCCTTGACGCCCCCCTCTTCTACGTTGGCTTCGGGGGCTTCCTCGTTGGGTTGTGGGGCCTCATCGTTGGGTTCTGGAGCTTCATCGTTGGGTTCTGGGTCTTCATCGTTGGGTTCTGGGTCTTCGTCGTTGGCTTCGGGGTCTTCCTCGTTGGCTTCGGGGTCTTCCTCGTTGG